TGGAAAAAGAGATAAATTTAAATTGCCTAACCCGCGGATAAAATATCGGTCTCTCCAATTTCCTTACTTCTATGAGCGCCCAAAATCACAACGACGCCACAATTTTTCTTTTTTGTTGTTGTTTTTTTGTGTTGTTTCTCTTACCTTTGGCAGGATTGACAGCCACACCGGAAGAGTACAGCCTCTCCTCATTCTGCCAGTCCATGTTCCGGAGCACCGTCTTCGCACTGAAAGACACAACCAGCAGCGCCAGCGACGCATACAACACCTTCCGCTTCCCTTCGCTCTCCAGCTTATGAAGGACAGCTTGGGCCCCCACGCCCACCAACAGACACACCCCCATACTTGGAATGTACAGAATCCGCTCTGCTATGACGAACCCCACATAGAAAAACAAATTTGAAGCAGGAATGAACGGAAAGACGATGATAGATATGCATATGATAACAACATCCACTGTTCTATACGAGGGACCAGTGGCGGAGAAATGAGACATTGTCCTTTCATTCAAGTCGGAAGAGACAGACCCAGAGTTGGTTACATTGTTGTATAAGGATTTTGTTGAATGAGATCCTCCATTCGATGAACTATGTACACTGGAATATTTGCTGGATTTATGAGATCCGTTGGAATGTGTTTGATGGACTCCGTTCGACGACCCTGAAGACCCGTTCGTATTTACAAATTTCCCGCCGTAGGAGAGACTGTTATTGTTCTGCTTTCGTCTGCTGGAATGTTTCCATTCTGAAGACTCTTCAGCCTCACCAGGCCAGCTGTCTATCGTCTGCGAGACGCGCACAAACACAAAAACTAAACACGCGTAGAAAACAAGCGTAGACAAGTTCCGGAAGTCGTCCAAACTCTCCAACAAAGGTACAGCCTCCATCGACCAATCAAAACTGAGGATGCGCGGGCACAGCAGCATCCAAAAGTTGGCCGAGGGGAGGTAATTATAGGTAAGGACCCTGGTGAGCAGACTGTCCGAGTCCGAGGCGGGGTTGTCGGAGGGGGCGAACTCTGGCGGCCTGTTGCCCATGAAGTGTATCCGGAAACCCAGGAGAGTTCCTCCACACGCTGCGATGAGAGCGATCCCCTCTAGGGCGGGTCGGAACTTGGTCTGGGGAGGATATAGTAATAATAATAATAATAATAATAATAATAATAATAATAATAATAATAATAATAATAATAATAATAATAATAATAATAATAATAATAATAATAATAATAATAATGATAATTAATCATCATCATCATCATCATCATCATCATCATCATCATCATCATCATCATCATCATGACAATAAAAATAGTAATATGGGAATTTAATCAATAATCTGATTTGCTGTTGTTGTTGTTGTTGTTGTTGTTGTTGTTGTTGTTGTTGTTGTTGTTGTTGTTGTTGCCGCCGTAGTTATTTTTGTTATTGTTGTTGCTGTTCTTATTATTGTCGCTATAATCATTGTGGTGTGTTGGTGGTGGTGTTGTTTCCGTTGGTTTTGGTGTTCAGTTGTATCATTTTGAGTTTATTCAAATAGCGAGTTACTTCCACCCTGCCTGCCAGTGCCAACGCCAGATGTTTGGGATAACGGTACACATTTGCACATTTCAGGCTTTGCACATTGCAGGCTACTATTTTAAAATATTACATGTAGTGACTTCTCCACGTGAAAATCGAACTAGCTTTTTGGTATGCGAGGCGAATAGGCTAACACCCACGGCCAACTGCCAATCAGATTCATTTCATCAAGTTGGGGTAAGCCAGATTTTTTCCTTCAGAGAAATACAAAACCTATCATTTAGACAGAATACGACGGATTCGACTCGCTAACTTTAAAAAACCGTGTTTGATTATATAGGTCACAGTCGATTTTATGTATATTCAGTCATATTGTGACAAAATGCCGACTTGTTAGCTGTTGCCTTGTACATGGATAAAAAATCTGATCGATTCCGAGCAGTTAAATGCATCCGATTGGCAGTACAGTGTGCACTGGGTATAACACACCACTAAAGACGAGTCACTTCTGGCTTCAAAACTCTCATGCCAAAGGTTTTGGCCGGAAACGCTCAACGTACTGTCGCCAACAACACTCTCAAACAACGACCTTTCCGCTTCAGAGATTTTTGGACACATTATACAACCCTCCTTTATCAAAACAGGGGGAACAAACAACTGACATAAACAACAAGTCGGTAGAAGTGTTTTCTGCACTCTGGTTTTTTAGACGGATGGCGGTCACGAAATGCATTTTACAGTCCCTTTTTTATTTCAGCTCTGTGTTTTCTCTCTCTCTCTCTCTCTCTCTCTCTCTCTCTCTCTCTCTCTCTCTCTCT